GTGGTTCTGGTGCTAATGTTAAGGGACAATATCCAGATCAGAAAGTTATTGAGCCTGTAGATGAACATGGAGGACAGGAGGCTGTCATGGGGCCCAGAAAGGTTTGATAGTGAGTTCATATACCAGACACTGATGAGAAAGCTTCCGGTATGGCATAATAGGAAGAAGTGAACTTGGATTTTAAAATTCACAATTCACAGTGACAATATTAGGAATGAATGCTTGAGAAATCTCCACCCCTTGCCCAGACAGATGATTAAATGTAATGGTCTGACAATATTAAATTAGTCGACTAGCATGAAAGATGAGATGACCCGTGCTGCCGAGAAAGTAATTATTTAGATTATGCACAATACACTCAAGGCACACAAACTCACAGATAGTTGACCTCAGACAATCACTGACTTTTCTATGGCCAAAACCAAAATACATAAATGTCAAAAGTGCTCTGTGTGGCCCATATAGATTTGGTACAAGAAATAAACTTTTACATAGAACAAACGTCCAGTAACTGATGGAAGCAGACGCAGTGACCCACAGCCCACTCACAGCCCAGCAGTGGGCTGAGCTCCTGGAGTTCAGGTGAAGAGAGAAAGGAGGGATCATATGAGCAATGGGGGTAGTCAGGAGCATGATGGGGAAAACTACAGAGACAGCTGACCTGAGCTAGCTCACGTGCTATAGACTGACAGCTGGGTAACCTGCTTGAGACTGAACTAGGCCTTCTGAATGTGGGTGACAGTTATGTAACTTGATCTATTGGGGGATGTGGGGCTGACAGTGGCACTAGGACCTATCGTAGGCACATGAACTGGCTTTTGGGAGCCTATTCCCTATGATGGGATACCTTGCTCGGCTTTGATATGGAAGAGATTGGTTCAGCCTCAACTTGGTATGTCAGACTTTGTTGACTCCAAAAGGAAGGTTTTGCCCCCTCTGAGGACTGGATGGAGGGTGGAAAAGGAGCAGTGGGGTGGGAGAAGGGGAGAGAAGGGTATTGGGGTTGATATGTACATTGAAAAATAAATCTTTAGAAAAAAAACAAGAAATAAACTTTTAAAATACACACAAAATAAATATCAGGGCTGAGAAGTAGTCTCCAGCAGCTCAGCCTGTCATCCAATGACCGCAGGAACCTTTTTACAACTTTCTGATCAAATCTTCACCTTTGAGTGAGCAGGCTCTTTCCAGACATAGGAGAATCACTTCCTCTCACAGCGGCGTATGTTTAGATCACTTCATTCTTTGTTCTGCTCATAATAAGCCACAACCTGCCTTGTTGGAAATGTCACCGGTCAGTAGAAGTTTTGACCTTTTAAGAACAAAGAAAATCGGGTGTGTTTTCTATGTGGCAGGTTTTAAACAATTTGCACTTTGTTCCCTATCTAAAACCTCTACTTAGATCACCTGATCCTCATCCAGGATGTTTACATGCCTTGTCAACCTTATTGTCCTTTGATCTGTTATCAGCCAAAGCCACCTATCACCAAGGACTGACTTAGTACTCCATATTCTATCTGACAGCCAGGCACCATATTTTTATTTTAGGATGAAGTTGTAGGAAGGTATTTATTTGTGGATGGATGGATGAATGGATGGATGAATAGAAATGCAAGCCATCATACTTTTCTTCTTTGCTGAAATACAATATTTAGACAATATGAAATGAAATAGAAAATTTAAGTTGTCACATTCACTCATGCTTACATGCACTATTTTCTTTTATATTTGGAGATATTTTTGTTGGATGATATTCATTATCCATGTGTTTCCCACCTCTCACCCGCAGGCACTGGACTCCCTCGGGAAGGCCCAGTGCTTCCCAATCCCCTAAACTAGTGCAACCAGAATCTAATCTTTGCCTGGGCTGTAAGATTCAGAGCTCTAAATAGTGTGAAGGACTGCCAGCAGCCCCTCACTGAGTTCATACCACAGAAACTTGAATCTGATTTTGAAAGACAGAAAAGGCTCCCCAAATAGTTTCATTTTGTGACTTCCCAGTATGGATACAATAAGGCTGACCTCTACATCTGAGCCCAAAAAAGAGTAGAGGGAGGCTCTATGAGAGATGGGAAGTTGTCATAACTGCAAAAAGTGGTACCTAAGTGATAGGTACACAAGGAGAGGGAGGTGAGCATCACTGGACACAGTCACTAGCATCAGTTTCAGAAGAGACTCTGAAGAAGAGTTACATTACACTTCATGGCAGTTGTTGCTGTGAAGATCAGGTCATTCTCTGCAGAGCCCTGGGGATTAGAATGGCAGACCCATTATCCCAGAGAAGTGACTCACAAGCAGGCATGGATTTTCATGTGGCAGATGAAAGTCAATACAGGAAGAAGAAAATATAGTTTACGGTCAGCGTAGTTGACTTTCATTGCACACTAGATTCCAGATACAAAGGTCAGAAGCTACCTCTACACCCTACTGTCTACACAAGACTGAAACAATGGCAGTGATTGATACCCAAGGACCTGTTCAGAACTGGAACAATCTGAGCCTGCAGGCTCAGGGGTAGCTCAAGCACTCTGATGAATCTGCCATTACTCAAGATACTAAACTTTCAAGTCTGAATGAGGTCAACTTCTTAGTCTGATTTTGTCAGGGAGACTATAAAAACTTGCATTTTTCATAATTAGACTCATATGAAAGTGGAAGGCTAAAGATATTTTCCAGAAAATAGTTAACATGATAGATCAGTATGTCAAAGAAATAAATCCCTGTGAAGACAGAAGTGGGAAACGAGCAGTGGAGAAAGCAATGCGCTGTGGATGAGAAGAGCCTAGTGTTTCACTCAGCAAGCTTTAATTTGAGAATTGGCACATGAAATTACCTCTGAGTTTCCTCCCAAACTAAGGTTTCTTTAAGGTTCCGTACCACCATTTATTTATTTATATAAAATCTTAGTTTGCATTTGTTTTTAAACTGCTTCCTCACACTGAGTCTTTGGCCACTGTATTCCTTGGTCACTTTCTGGTATCTACTTTTAAAATAAATGATTGTTAAACAGTCCCCTCAGTTCTATATGTGTCCAGCTGAGGTTCTGAAGCTCAGTTTAATTTTTTGCCTGTTCAGTATTGTTTTATAGATTGTGGTAGCCACTTAATGTCTTATAGCTCGAGATTACATTGTGTCAAAATCTTTGGGAACTGGGAATTCAGGAATTTTCATATAATAATTATCCTGATATTTTGTCAAGTTGTAGGTATGTTAAGAATGTCTACATGACAGTGACTATAACTGAGATTAAAATATACAGCATGAATGGCTAGCATCTAGCATACCACTAAAAGGAACATATAACAGTGTTGATTCTTTATCATTGCATAGGAAATAAACATATCTGAGATGTTTGGATGTATCATACAAAGTACCAGGGTGTGGAACACATTCATTAATTCACCCAACCATGTTCATTGAGAGACTTTCATCCCTCAAAATGCTGCACTGTGATATGAATAAATTCAACAGGTCCAGTTGGGTGGTCTTTAAAGAATATTGGTAGAACACACTAGTGTTACAAGTTTATGTCACATCCTTCATAATTTAAACATGCATCAGAGCACTCAACCCCCATAAAAATACTACCTTGCATGTCATGATTAAATAATATATATATATATATATTAACACTTAGTCCTTATAATTCACATTTTCTCCATCTTTTGCAAAAGGGCACTAGTGTGATACTCAAATGCATTCCTTGCAGCATTGATCCAGCATGGTGTCATTACTGACCTTCTAATACAGATTTAAGGAGAGGGTAATATATGAAGTTGCCATACTTTCTCATGTTAACCAGGGTTGAAATTTCTGTTAACGACTGATTTCTTTCCTTGTGATAAACTTTTTCATATATTTTTATCCCAAGAAATATTAACCTTTAAAGGCAAGCGATTTTATGCAAATAGTATTTTCATAACTCATTAAAGTGTGTTCATGGTTAATTCTTAGGTTTCCTGAAGGAATATTTCATGAGATTTGAAGAGCAAAGCAAATGTTTCCCACGCAAGAAAGGTATCTAACACCTTCTACATGCTCTGGATGAAAGTGACAGTAATTTAGCATTTGTCAATACCATTAATGTTAATATGCTTAAGGAAAGGCATGTGTTTTTAAACTCACTGTGTTGTCTGGTACCCAGGAACTCTGAGATTTTGAAGAACAAACAGATGTGAAAGATTGTCTTTGAATACAACAGATTCTAGAAAATATTGATGCAAAGAACTCTGGGTTTGAGAGACAACTTCCCTCTTGGGAAGTCCAAAGGTGGTTCATAAGTTGACTGAAAAGTTACCATATATCCCAAGCATAATGATTCATGAAGTGAAACAAGTTTGTTATAAATAATGTCCCCCTAAAACAATAGAGTCCCATGCTTCTTTTACATCAGATGGCAGTGATGTGAGTGGCTTCCCTTATTGGTGCACAGACCATTTACACTGAGCAGAAAGTCAAGGTTGTGCAAGATAAGACAAACATGTGATCTCAGCCTGGTTAGACCAGAGTCTTAATAGGCAGAAACACTGTACCTCATAGACAACAGAGGGCAAAAGAGAAGACCATAGATTACTATGTGCATTTTTGCACAGTCAATAATTTTCATTTATTTTGCTTGATTTTAGAAGTTTTTGGAATCAAAACCAAACTCTACCACCAAGATGAACACCAGTTCTGCATTTGATTTTTAAAATACATTTTCCAAGTTATTGCAAATGGATTCAAATGTCCGTTCTATTAGGGAGGCAAACTTGTTCAAAGTTCTGGAACACACAGGCAACAGGACTGAGGTTTTAAAAAATGCCCTAGCATCCTACTGCACTTATTTCTATACTAATGAAAGAAAGACTAATTGGCAGATAGTCCTTTACTGAGTAGTAAAATGGAAATCAAAGCGCTTGGTTTAGGAAAAGTTAGGGAATACTGGGAATGTTTTTTAGATTCACATTCTTTATGGTGGGCATTAAATTGACCCCTGCTCTCTGTACACACGAAAGGCGATGGACGGTTTCAATGACAGTTTAGGAGAGAGCTTCATTTTGGTGGGCTTCTCAGACTGGCCTCAGCTGGAACTCATTCTGTTTATCTTTATTTCAATTTTCTACTCCTTAACTCTCTTTGGCAACACCGCCATCATTGCTCTGTCCCGAATGGACCTTCGATTACACACACCCATGTACTTCTTCCTCTCCCATCTCTCCTTCCTGGACCTCTGCTACACCACCAGCACTGTGCCCCAGCTCCTGATCAACCTTCATGGACTTGACAGAACCATCAGCTATGGCGGGTGTGTGGCCCAGCTGCTCATATCTCTTGCTCTGGGCTCCACTGAGTGTGTGCTCCTGGTGGTGATGGCCTTTGACCGCTATGCTGCTGTGTGTCATTCCCTGCACTACACAACCATCATGCACCCCCTTCTCTGCCAGGTATTGGCTATTGCTTCATGGGTGGGAGGCTTCTTGAACTCTCTGATTCAGACAGGCCTCATGATGGCCATGCCGCTCTGTGGACACCAACTGAATCACTTCTTCTGTGAGATGCCTGTTCTCCTGAAGTTGGCCTGTGAGGACACAGGAGGAACAGAGGCCAAGATGTTTGTGGCCAGAGCTATAATTTTGGTTTTCCCTGCAGCACTAATTCTTGGCTCCTATGCACAGATTGCCAGGGCAGTGCTGAAAATCAAGTCAAATACTGGACGCAGAAAAGCTTTTGGGACATGCGGGTCCCACCTCGTGGTGGTTTCTCTGTTTTATGGCTCAGCCATCTACACATACTTACAGCCCAAGGGCAGCTATTCTGAGAGTGAGGGGAAGTTTGTTGCCCTTTTCTATACTATCGTCACCCCCATGCTCAACCCTCTGATTTATACCCTGAGGAACAAGGATGTGAAGGGGGCTCTGTGGAGGGTATTAGGGAGAGGCACAAACTCAGTAACATGGGGAAGAAAATAGGATCACTACAACTTTCTGTGATAGCTCTCATATCCTTAAGTCCACCAGGGTCTGCAGGGAAAACCAAAATTATAGCTCTGGCCACAAACATAAGAAATGCCTTCAGCAAGTCTCAGAAATTTCTTGCTTTCCTCTTTTGGATTTGAAAGTCAAGATCTCTTTAGCTTCTCTCCCTGTGTCTATGATCCTTGAAAAAGGGGTGTCAAATCTGATTTATCTCAATTATCCCACAAGAATGTTTGAGAAGATGGTCTGTTTTCCACATCAGAGAATAGCTCAGGTGTCTAGGAATTTCTGGGTATGAGGGAAGGCTTAATTGAATGTGACACCCTTTTTCCAAAGCCAGTAATTTCCTTCATAGGTAGTGTAGATGGCACTTTGCCCATAGGTATAGAACACTGCTCGTCACTGGTTCTTTAACTACTTGCCTCAGGGTTTAGGTTCTTGGGTCACCTCTGTTTTTCTAGATTTTTAGTGCACACTGTTACTAGAGAGGCAGACAGGAGACTGTAGTCAGATATACATCATCACAATAGAGTTTTAGACATAATGTCATTTCACTAATACTTAAAGAAAATAACAAAATTGCTGAAACAGCACCAAATAGGAAAAACATCTAGTTGGGTGGTGGTGGTGCACACCTTTAATCCCAGCACTCGGGAGGCAGAGGCAGGAGGATCTCTGTGAGTTTAAGGCCAGCCTGGTCTACAGAACGAGTTCCAGGATGGGTTCCAAGACCACAGAGAAACCCTGTCTAGAAAAACAACAACAACAAAAAATGAACAAACGAAAGATAGGAAAGAAAAAAAGAAAGGAAGGAAGGAAGGAAGAAAGGAAGAAAGAAAGAAAGAAAGAAAGAAAGAAAGAAAGAAAGAAAGGAAAAGCATCTAAATCTTCTCAGATGGGCCACAGGTTTGTTTGCTGCCGGGGTGAAGATACTTTTATTGAAGAGAGAAGAGACTAGGAATGATTATAAAAACAATAAGCATTGTGAAAATGGAATAACAAAAGGAAATATTATCAGAGAGTGACACTAGTGAATGCAGAGAAGAGTCAGTGTAGGGAGGAGGCATGGAGACTGCAATCTACTACAACTGTTTCTTTTCATGTACTTAAATGATGGTTTCAGATCAAAGTACAGACACCCTTGTAAATACGCTTTGAAGTTTTAGTAACTTCCAAGTTGGATAAAAAATCTTAGTTCTAATAGCAATCGCTACTTACATAATCTTTGAAATATTTTTATATAATCTCTAATAATTCATGATTAAACTAAGATTTAAAATTTTTAAGTAACTTATGCATGTTCACATAACATGAACCTAAGAAATTTTTTAAAATAAATTTTTATTTAAATTAGAAACTTTATTATTTTACATATCAATCCCAGTTCCCTCTCCCTCCCCATCCTCCCATGCTCCCCACCAACCACCCCCCATCTGATTCTCAGGGAAGGTGAGGCCTTCCATGGGGGATATTAACCCACACACCTATGAACACCTGATTTTCGACAAAACAACTAAAAGTATACAATGGAAGGAGGAAAGCATCTTCAACAAATGGTGCTGGCAAAATTGGATGATGGCGTGTAGAAGATTGCAGATAGACCCATGTCTATTGCCATGCACACAACTCAAGTCCAAATGGATCAAAGACCTCAATATCAATCCAGCCACATTGAACCTCTTAGAAGAGAAAGTAGGAGGTACCCTTGAACAAATTGGTATAGGAGACTGCTTCCTGAACATAACTCCAGGAACACAGACACTGAGAGCAACAATTAATAAATGGGACCTCTTCAAACTTAGAAGCTTCTGCAAGGCAAAGGACACCGTCGACAAACCAAACAGCAGCCCACAGACTGGGAAAAGATTTTCACAAATACTATACCCGACAAAGGGCTGATCTCCAAAATATACAAAGAACTCAAGAAACTAGCCAACAAAACACCAAACAACCCTATTAAAAAATGGGGTACGGAACTGAAGAAAGAATTCTCAATAGAGGAAATCAAAAAGGCTGAAAGTCCCCCAGAGCACAGAGGAAGTGGGGGGGGCAGCAAATGGAGAGAGAAGTAGGAGAAAACGAGGGGGAGGAAAGGAAAACACGTGCGACCAGGAAGATTGAGCCCGGTTAGGAATAGAAGACAGGAAAGAGAGGGAGAGAGAGAGAGAGCATAAAAGAGGGAGCCAATATTGATTTGAAGATAAAATTGAACACAAAGAAAGGTCTAGAAAACTACAAGACTGCTGCCAACTAACAATTTGAGCTTCCGTGGAAAGGCTACCATAAATGCCCTTCCTGGAGAGTGAGATCAGCAACTAACTTATCCATGGAGCCCTCAACTAATATCTGTTGGAAACAGGAGCAAACACCCATACATAAACACTGAGTCGAAGTAGAACCCAGATGCAGATGGAGAGGACAAGACCAGGCGGCAGAAACACATAGAGACAGCTTACCTGAACAAGGAGGAGCTAACAGGCCATCAGACTGATAGCTGGGAAGCCAGCAAGGGACTGACTCAGGCTCCGCTCAATATGGGTCTAAGCCAGAAGGACTGAGCAGTCTAAGGGACCTCAGACAGTGGAGCCAGGATGTATCCCTGGTGCACAAAAGGACCTTGTGAACACATCCCCCATGGAGGGATAACTGCCTTAATCTAGAGACAGGAGAGAAGCCCTAGTCCCTACTTCACATGACCTGTCAGATCTACATGACCCCAACTGGATGGCATTCCCCAACATATGGAATTGGGGTGGGGGGGATGGGAGGGGAGGGTGGTTAGAGTGCATGTGAGAGGGCAGAGAGGGTAAAAGGGAGTGAAGGAGGGAGGGAGAGGGAATTGGAATCGACATGTAAAATAATAAATAAAAAAAATGCTTTGACTCCAAAATTTAAGTTCAAGGACAAGTTACTGGGGAAAAGGATTTCTATTTTTGTTTCCACAGAAAATGAAAAGCTGTGGATTCCTTCCAGACTAATGTGGTTTGATCAAGCCAGACCACCTGAAACAGAGTCCCAGGTGATTCTACATTCAAAACAGCTGGACGAAGCAGCCTTACCTACAACAGCCAGGATTTCTGCATCTTCTTCGAATCCCCCAGCAGGAAGTAGTTCGGAAAGAACGACACCCAAATTCCCAAATATTTTCTATAAATGTTTGTTTTCATTTAAATGGACTTGGTTATATAATATATATATATATATATATATATATATATATATAATGGAAAATACGCAGAGAATCTGGATACTGTATGCTATTGTGCTGTCTTTGAACTGCGCAATTGCTAAAGAAGGAATAACTGCTAAAATACACTTTATTATCAATGCTGCTGAATTAATCCAATTTATATATTTTAAAAAAGCTTTGACTTCAAAATTTAAGTGTGAGGACAAGTTACTAGGGAAAAGAATTTCTATTTTTGTTTACACAGAAAAATGAAAAGCTATGGATTCCTTCCAGACTAACATGATTTAATCAAGCAAGACCCTCCGAAGCAGTACTCTAGGTGATCCAATATTCAAAACACCTTGGACAAGGCAGCCTTGCAGACCACCACAGCCAGAATTTCTACTTCTTAGGATGCCCAAGACAGCGTCCCCTACCAGCAGGAAACAGTTTGGAAAGAACAATGCCCAAATTCCCACATATTGTTTACAAATGTTTGTTTTCATTTAAATGGGGTTGGTTTGCGTTTTCTTTACTGTCTCTATTTCAGTGTTCAGGTCTTGAATTGTTTCCTTCACCTGTTTTTTGTTTGTTTGTTTGTTTGTTTGTTTGTTTTTTCTTGGCTGTCCTTATTTTCTTTAAGAGATTTGTTCATTTCTTGCATTTTTGCCTGGTCTTTTCTTCTATTTCTTCCAATTTTTTGTTTGTTTATTCTTCCATTTCTTTAAGGGATTTTCTCATATCATCTTTGAGAGCCTCTATCATTTTCATGAAGTTACTTTTTAGGTCATTCTCTTCTGCTTCATCTGCTTTGGTGTGTTCAGGTCTAGCTGGTGTGGAGTCCCTAGAATCTGGTGGTGTCATACTGGTCTTTCTATTGTTGAGTGTTTTCTTGTATTCTCGTCTTCCCATTGCTTCTTCCAGTGGGTGCAGGTGGAGCCTCTCTCTCTACCCTGCTCTCCCGGTGGGTGTAGGTGGGTCAGGAGTTCTGTCAGTAACTCTGGATGATCTAAGCACTCTTGGCGGTCTCTCAAGTAGAGGCCACAGCAGGGACATATTTAGAGATATAAGCTGATCTTAGATGAATGTGTGTGTGTTCTATATATGATCATGCATATATAGAAATTATCAACAAATGAAAAGCTGGTTATTAAGAAATAACAAACACTTGTGTGGTAATTTGAATGTAGTTGACCCCCATAAGCTCATTGGGAGCAGCACTATTAGGAGGTGTTACTTTGTTGAAGTAGGTGTGGCCTTATTGAAGAAAATGCATCACTGTGAGGGCAGGCTTTGAGGTATCTTTTTTCTTAAGTTTCTTTCAGTGTCACAGACCACTTCCTATTGCTTTCTGATCAAGATGTAGTCAGGACAGCATCTGCCTGTATGCCGCCATGCTCCCCACCATGATGATAATGGACTGTAAGCCCCTCTGAACTATAAGCCTTCCCAGTTAGATGGTTTTTTTCTTTATAAGCGTCACCATGGTCATGGTGTCTCTTCACAGCACTAGGAACCCTAATGAGGATACCTTGGCTAGAAAAAAGAAACATAAGACTGAACAAAAGACCACTGAAATTCTCTCTGAGAAACTGTAAACCAATGAGTTCGATGACACAAACAAAAATGGACAAATTATTGGATACAATCAACTTAGCAAGACTGAATCATAAAGAAATGTAAAAATTCAACAGAATAATTGGACTCAACAAGATTAAACAAGTAATTTTAAGAGCATCTCACCAAAGAAATACCCAGTACCAGATTACTCCACTGTTGAATACTACCAAACTTATAACAAAAC